GGCCTCTCCCGTTGCGGAGCACAGGCTCCGGACGCGCAGGCTCAGGGGCCATGGCTCACGGGCCCAGCCGCTCCGCGGCATGTGGGATCTTCCTGCACCAGGGCATGAACCTGTGTCCCCTGCATCGGCAGGCGGACTCTCAACCACTGCGCCACCAGGGAAGTCCCACAATGTGGTTTTTTAATTGGCCTAATTTAAAGGATTGTCGTTGTGCTCACAATTATACCAAGTTATTTGGGATTATGAGAACAAACAAGAAAACGCACAGGGGTGAGTTAGAGCTAGGACTTAGCACTCAATATCCTGTTGTGGGAAAATAACACCTTGGGTCCTAATTTCATTATTTATGACATGTTACTCTACCTCTGCTCTCCAAATATGAGTACTATCTATAAGGAAGCTTCTCTTAAGTTACATGTAGTACTTGTGTTAAAATTTTTCATGTCAACAAGAAATGGGAGAATGTGCAAAGCCATGAGATTACGTGTAGGATACTGTATAGATGGCCTGTTATATTTAAATAGCAAAAAAGGGGTTGATTTCTAAGCTGTGACAACACCAAAAAAAAAAAAAAGTCATGATTATCTTTATCTTCACCACCATGCCACCCCCACGTCCTGGTCACCTTAGCTAAAACCTGTGCTATCACATAAGGGCTGGTGATCTATATCTCAACTTCCTTATTTATAAAAGGAGAGCCAGGTCATTCTCCTAATTGTAAGAGATGGTAAGGAATTTGGTGGTGAGGAGAAAACTTGCATTTGCACAAAAATTGTGCCAGGCTACCCAGCAGATTCATCTCCAGAATCACATTAGAAATGAAGTCATGTGACATTGGTCACGTTCAGGTGCCAACTGCTTCCTGGGAATCCTTGGACTGTGTCCACTTCCTTTCTTGCAGTTGGATGAGGGGTTTCTAACTCTGGTTCTGGTTACCGGTTGGGATTTCAGAGTGTGGCTATCCAAAAACTACGTGAAACTGTGTTCATTTTAGGGAGTTGGAGGTGGGCCAGAGGTTTAATCAGAGTCTAATTAAAGGGGCCCTGACCCAAAAAGGTGACGAATCACTGATAGAGACTTCTGTGCACTCACACAATCCCAGATACATTCCAAACTCCCACGAAGCTTTGTGGACAGTGTCTCAAAGGTTGATTAAGTAGTTAAAAGTAGAAGTGAAATGTGTGATGAATCTCATAACAGTTAAGAGGAATCAAAACTGAATTATGGTGCAATTATAGAAAGAAAATCCATGGCATTTAATTAGGTTGCATTTTATTTAGATAAATGAAAATTTACCCCCCAAACAGAACTAGGAATCAAATACTGTCTCAGATTAAAAAGGAAACCGCTAAGCTTGAAGCTTACACTGAAAAGCTAAAATTTCCAGCCCTTCACTACCTGTAGTTCCGAACATCAAAGGAAAATACCGGAAAAAAAGTATCTGTGTGACAGAGAGAGGCAACTCGGGTGTACCATTAGCAAAAGAACCTGAGGGGGAACATTTTATATTCTTCGATTACAAGAAATGGCGAGAGTTTACAAGTCTTGCATCGTTCTTTCTATTGAACATGGCTCCATAGTAATGCCAAAAATAGCAAAGTTTAGGCACTTGCTCCAACTTCTGCAGTTTGCATTTGATTATTATACACTTCACAAATTAACAGCAGCTTTAGAGTTATAATACAGAATTGTATTTCATGCTACTGTTAATAGCATTCCTCCTGTTAATAAAACAATGATGCTTAATGGACATAGGTCCAGAGCTTGTACGGAAGTAATCCAGGGCACATCAAGGGCACGATCATGAAGCAACCACCACTGGAAAACCAATCGTGATGGCCAGAATGACCTGGCCACGTGTATTGAGACAAGACCAAATACAAATGGGATGAAGTGGCAGGATGGAACTTAAACCCCCCAAAAATGATTACCACAAACTACACAAATCTTTAATCTGTTCAAAACAGCACGAAGTTTCTTCCTGCCGTAGAAAGGAAGTTAGTTGATATTTAGAAGTGTAATGAACTCCTTAAAAACTGCTACCATCTCCAAATTTCAGTTCATCTTCAAAAACTGACACCAGCATTTCGATTTTTTTAAAGTATCAAGTTGGCAAAAGAAATATCTTTATATCAGAGAGGTTTTTTTTAATTTGGGGATTTTAAAGTTTAGTAATTAAGCACAAGTGGCTATTATATCTGTGAAAAACTCCCCAAAAGATACTAAATGTTTTCCAACTACAAGACCATATGCTGTTTCCATGAGGGGGTCTTTCTAATAATGGCCAATTTTTTATCGTAGTCAGGTTTGTTGGTTTTATGAGAAACTACTTTCCAGTTTTGACAGCAAACTGTCTTTCTGCTAAAAGACTGTTCTAGTTTTGCTGGAATGTTATATTTCAAAATAATTTAATTGGCAGTTGAAATTTAAGTTCTCAAACTGGAGTACTGAGTTTGAGTACAATTTAAGAAGTGTGCACACCAGGCCAGTGCTACCCATGAAAAAGCGGGACTTTCTGGTAGATGGGGGACTGTTCTTTGTGTGGCACTTGTCTGACAGAATCCTTTAGGTATTAGCGTGAATCAGAAATCATTTTGACACTTTAAAAATTTTTTCCAAGATCACCTGTTAGGTAAGGCATTTTTACCACTAAGCCTTCTTAAAATGTCATTCTAGAGACATTTGTCATTAACAGATATTAACAAAGAAAACTGACTTTTTCAAGAAGGCACCACCAGATGGTAGCATTGTTTCAGTACCATCAATCTAAAAAGCTCCTGGTTTATTTCAGCGGATCCCTCTCTGCCTTTGACTTCCTCTGATCCCCAACTCAAACTGGTGTAAAGTGGTGACATCGTGTAGTGACTACATTAGAAACTTCTAGCTTCTCTGCTTTTAGAATGCAGTAAACATATGTCCCAGGCTTCCTATTATCTAATAAATCCAACAAATCTAAGTGAAGCAAATGTTTTATTGAAATCAGTTGTCAAATCACAATTTATCCAAATGATAATGCTACATTGTTCTTAAAAGAGTGGGCACAAATATGGCACAGACACAATCCAGCATCTATCAAAATACCATCTGTAAAGAACCTGACTTATTTCGTGCTATGTGTGAGTGTGGTCCAGCATAGAAGGTAGACTCAAAACCAGTCGATTTTTTTCTTGATAACATGAAAAACATTTCACTACTTTGCCTCAAAATTAAGCACACTCATCTGTCTGTAACAACCGTATAACAATTAGCAGAGAAGACTTTAAATTAATCTGCTACTGAAAAAAACTTCCTTCCAACCTCCACTGGGGGACAGAAAGAAAAATTTCCCAGTAACAATGGAACATTCTGTATGTTTCCCTCCAAAAAACACTTTCTACTTTTAGTGCACTGTGCATAATAGGAAAGTGACCAATTTCAGAGTGATACCAAACACTCTGAAAGGACCTAATCCTTAGTGAATTTTAAAACAAGAAGTGTAGCTTCTGATCAGGAATGTTATTTCTAGGAAGCTCTGTTTTCAAAGGTTGTAACTGAGGCAGACAGCTTCCTGAGACTTCACCGTGGTTGCATGCCCCGTCGTATATTGTGTGATACAGAAGGAATGCACTATACTGTAATTTCCTTAAACATTAAGAAAAAAATATATACAATAGATACAGAAGGAGAATTACTTAAAACATACATATAAATACATAAAGAATGATACTCCAGTTTGAGAAGCAGAACTAGGTATTGCCAACTCCAGTTCCGGGCTAAGGATTAAGGACCTTGAATCAGAAACATTATATGGTACCAAGGGAAAATAACAGGGTGGTCTTGAAAGGAAGAAATGTTATCTGGCTACAGCTCCCGATGAAGCCTCAGGATTGTCAGGGGTTCTCTAGAAATGAGAGCAGTTGACGTGTCTGTTCTTCCGTTCCCAAAGTTCTGTAAGATTGGTCTCGTCAGCAGCATTCGTTTTCTTCTCCCACTCGTCTTCACATTCTGGTCTTGCAAATACACAACTGTAACGGTAGAAGGAAGCCAGAATCAAAAGTAAATAACATCTCCTTCGCCTCCCTCATTTATTCAACAACATAAGAGCTTTGAAAGTGAGCTGCAGCCAATGGGAACCCTAGTGAAAACCACAGGTTACCTCTGTAAGAAAGAAAGATGGTGAAGGTCCATAATACGGCATCCTTTGCTACCCGAACACTAGCAGGCAGGCTCTCACATGCACTGGAAATTTTTTTAAATGCTTCTTACTACTGCTGGAAGAAATCCAATTTTTTCCCAGAGAGCTATAAACTATAAATTTCAAGCACTACCTTATAAACCTACTTTGGACTTCTAGTTATTTAAAAACACGAAACAAAGTAGCTGTGAGCACAACATATTTCTTATGTCTTTGCGCCAAACACACACACAGTCACACGGGGGGTAAAACGAAGTCATTACTTTCAGGACACCAGTAAGACTGAAGAGCATGTCAATGAGAAAAAGGAAACTAACCCTGGGGGCTTCCCTGGCGGTGCAGTGGTTAAGAATCCGCCTGCCAATGCAGGGGACACGGGCTGGAGCTCTGGTCCGGGAAGATCCCACATGCCGCGGAGCAACTAAGCCCGTGCACCACAACTACTGAGCCTGCACTCTGGAGCCCGTGAGCCACAACTACTGAGCCCGCGTGAAGCCCGCACGCCTAGAGCCTGTGCTCCGCAACAAGAGAAGCCACTGCAGTGAGAAGCCCACACGCCGCGACGAAGAGTAGCCCCGTTCGTCGCAACTAGGGAACTCCCACGCGCAGCAACGAAGACCCAATGCAGCCAATAAATAAATAATTTTTAAAAAGGGAAACTAACCTGGATCTCCTAGTCTGGTTGATGGTTATTTCCCCAGATGTAGGTTCTGCATAAAATCCGAACTATTTGAATTCCTGCTTGCCTCATAACAAATCTGCCATCAGATGACAGAAAAGAGGGCAAAATTACTTTCAAAGAAAAGGAAGTTACTTACGTGATGTTTTAGGATTCTGTGGGTTTGGGTTTTGCCGGTGCTCTCTCTTGGTCCTGTGTCTCCTGTGTCTGTGTTTTGATCTCTTTTTCTGACTCACTCTGCACTTTTTCTTTCTGAAATTCTACTTCCTGGCCATCTCCCTTCTCTTTCAGTTTGGGTCCAGTTGTATCTGGAGACTCTTTGGTTGAGCCTCCTGATGCCTCAGCATCTTCCGGGGCTGAGGTTTGGATCCCGGGGTCAGCAGCAGCATCACCTTTTTCATCTCGGGATTCAAACGGTGACTTCTCTGTTCTTTCTCCAAACCCGGGACCACCGTCGTCTTCTGGCACAGACTTTGTTTCAGGGGCTTCTCTCTTTTCCTTGGATGGGAAAGCTACCTCTTCAAGCTGCTGGCCATCTACCGGGGAACCTTCTACCCTAGTGGCCGCCATCTTCTCTAAAGCTTCATTCACATCTTCAGAAACATCTGGATGTGTGTGTTCCCCGGCACTTAGTGGGGACTCCTCTTTGGCTTCGATGGTTTGTGTTTCATCCAACGTGTGGGCCTGAAGTTTGCTTTCTTCTTTCTCAATTTTCTGCCCAGCTTCCTGGCTGTCGGCTTCCGTCAGCTGAGCCTGGGTCTGGAAAGCAGCGGCCATTTCTTCTGTACTCCCCAACTGGTCAACAACTGTCTGAATTACGTTTTGTACAAGCTTGCAGCTCTCTGTCTCAAGTTTCAAAATCTCATTTTCAGCCTTTAAATCTTCCTCTCTTGTTTTGCTTACTCTGCCTTCCTGACAACCAACCTGCTCACCGTCTCCATCTGACTCCCATGTCTGTGATGTGGTTTTATCTCCTTCCAGCTCAGCGCTGATGCCTTTTTCAGGCGTAACAGATTCTATTACCGGTATTGATTTGGCCTGAGACTCAGTCCCTGTGGGCACCGTGTCTTCCCCCGGCTGAGCAGGAGAGCCTTCGTCTTTTTCTGAGGACTCTTCTTCCGGTACTAAACGTGCCTCTGCAGATTCCAAAGTTTCCGCTGTTTCTAAAATCTTGATAGCTTCTCCTAAGACCTTCTCCCCCACTGCTGCAGCTGTTAGAGCTAATGGTGCCTCAGAGCTTTGAACTTGAATTTCTGTGCATGCCTCTTCCTCGCGAACGGGCAGAGAACTTCCTTCAAAACTGATGACTTCCTTTTCCCCGTCTATGACGGTTACATTCACTGCCTGAACCAGTTGCTTACTGAGCTCTTCACATGTGGTAACAGCTGGTTTGCACTCAAGTTTCTCTTCATTTACTTGAGTTGGCTCCAATTCTGTTTTGTCCCTTTCCACTTGAACTACCCTCTCTCTCTCCACTGGGGTTGGAAGAGACTTAGCAGGTCTCTGGAGTTCGAGATCATCATTCTTTTGAAACTCAGCTTTTTTCGTAACTTCATCCTCAAGGGCGACTTCAGTTATCTTTTTCTCGGTTGTTTCTGTGTCAGCAGACACCACAAGGCCTTCGACAGATGGCTCCTCTTTGGCTTCCTCATCAGCACATCGGCCAGCCTCTTGAATCACCTCAGTCTTTGAAAGGATGGGTACAGTTTCCACTGTTACCTCTTTATCTGTACGTTCTAGAACCTCTTCCATTTTTGAATGCTTTTCTTCCTGGGATTGAAAATTGGAAGGTTCTGGAGGCATCTCTTTCAGTTCAGGAAGTGCCTCACCTTCCGTGACCTGGTATTGGGTACCGGATGGAACCTCACCATCTTCATCGATTTCCAGGATCTTGGTCTGCTGGTTTACATGTGTAGCTTCAAAATCCGCTACTGGGGTGCTTCCATTGGTCTCACTGTCTGTGAGGGTTTCAGCTGAGTCAGGAGCAAGAGCCTGTTCTGGGACAGTCTCTGGTTTTACCGCAGCCATGGTTTCAGCTGGACAAGTGCTTGTAAGCTCCCTGGCCTCTGCACTCTCTGTGCCTGGAGGAATTTCTTCCAAGCTTTCCGGGGTGGCCTGTACAATCGCCGTCCCCTGTGTCAAGGTCTCAGTTTTCGTTTCTTGTACATGTATTTTGGAGGCTCCATCCGTTGCTTCCTTCTGATCGAGTGCGTGAGAATCCTCTTCTGCTTCCTCCACCTGCTCCAGTATTTTTGCTTGTCCTTTCTGGGTGGTCTGGATGGTGTCGTCTAGCCCTCTGGCGTCAGGCAGCTGAGATTCCTCTTTAACTTTTTCTGCAACGGCCTGCAGCACCTCTCGGGTCCTCTTCGCCTGGTCTTCCATGTCAGGCACGCTGCCCTCCACCTCCTGAACAGGTGTTGCTTCCTCTGTGGTGTCTGGAAAGTCGGTTAACTGGGAAACAGCCGAAACCATGTCGGTGGTCTCTTCAGCACCAGAGGCTTCTGTGGCTTCTTCAGCACAGAGTGCCTCTGTGGTTTCTGAGGCCGTCAGAGCTGCAGGGGTCAATTCCACCTTGCTGGCGACTGTGTCATCAGTGGCCTCCTGGCTCTCTGGCAGCGTTTTGGTATCGACGGGGGTTTCCTCTGCAACGATTTCTTTTTCAAACACCTCCCCAGACGGTGGCTGGTCTTCATCTTCTACTTGTTCAAGAGGTTCTGTCACCGAAGCAGAGATCCAGGAAGGTGCCCTTTCTTCAATGCTAGTAACAGCCCTTGTCCCGTCCATGACAGCCACAGTCACGGTGTGAACCAGACTCTTACTGAGCTCCTCCGACACGTCGACAGCCACCTTCTGCTCAGGGCTCTCCTCGCTCCTCGGAGCCTGCTGTGCTTCTGTTTTCTCCCTTTCCACCGCATCGTACTCGGACAGAGGCACCACGGCTGGGACGTCCGAATCGTCCTCGTTGACCTCCGTTGGCCCCGTATCTTCCATCGCCGCTTGTTCTTGTTTCCCATCCAGCCTTTTCTTCCTTCGCCCAGGAATAAACTTCCTGATTGAAACCCAAGACTCTTCTTTCCCCAGCTCAGCATCTGAGGCTGAATATTCTAGGCCGGACCCAGCTACCAAGTCTTCGCTTTTCTCTTCCAGTTTTGACTTCGATTTTTTTCTCGAGGTGACTAATCTTTTAAATGACTCCCAGGTGGAGACCCCCTCCCCTTCAGAGGGGCTGCCGGCCTGCTCGGGTGAGGAACTTCCTGGGGGTTGGTAGTGGTCTTGGGAGCCGGCAGGGAGCGCGTCTGGGCCCGGCTCCCTGTCTCTCCCTGCTTCCTCTGGTTTTTGGCTGTCTCCTCCCGGGGGTTTTGGTCCCCCTTCGTCGTCCGAAGAGGATGCTTTCCTTGCTCTTTTCTTGGATGACCCCACACAAATCAGAGCTTCCCAGGACACGGAGGTGTCAACCTTGCGCTTTGGCTCTTCCGGCTTCTGCTCCTCTCCGTTTCCTTTCCCCTCTTCCTGCATTTCAGAGGCGGTGCTCTCCGTGGAGGACAGGGTGGCGCTCTTGACCTTGTCCACTTCGTCCTCCTTGTCACTTTCAGAGAGCCTTCTCACGCGTTTCTTGGGCGTCACCATCTTTTTGAAAGATGCCCAGGGGGTAACACCTTCCCTCTTCTTCTCTCCGTCGGAAGCGGTCCCTTCCTCCGTCTCCCCGTCCTGGGGGGCCTCGGCCACGCCTTTCTCCAGGCACGTGATCTCCTCGGGCTCTTCGGGGGACGAGGCCGAGCTCTCGCCCTTGGGCTCGTCTGGGCTGTCGGGAGAATCTGCCGAGGCTGGATGCTGCTCCCCAGACTCCTCATCTCCTCCTCGTTTCCCTTTCTGTTTCTTTCCAGAGAGCTTTTTTAAGCCGCCGCTAGTGAACAGTTTCTTTAAAGGGCTTCCCTGCCCCTTAGTTCTCTCCTGCGAGGACGGCACTTCCACCTCCCCCGCGACGCCCTCAGGGGGCGTGGGAGGCGCTTTCGCGTCTGCGCAGAGCTCGGCCGGCTGGGCGTGGTCCCCGCTGGCGGCGCGCGCCTCTTCCTGCATCTTCAGCAGCGCCTCCGGGGGCTCGGCGTCCGGAAGGTCGGCGTCCGTTTCAAGCGATCGCTCAGGTGGCGCGGGCTCTACTGCTTCTTCGACCTCGGCTTTCTGCTCCTCCGTGCCCTTCTCTGCAGTGCTGACGTGGACTTCCGCGACAATCTCTACTTTTTCATCGAATACTTCTGTTGCTAACGGGGCGGGTTTCTCTTCGGGAGGTGCTTGCCCTTGGTCTTCGGGGGGCAGCTCCACTTTTTCATACTCAGCCGACAGCCTGGCATCCTGGGCGCTCTCGCGGGCCTCCTGTGAGGGCGGCTGCTCGGAGAGATCTTCCGTCTTCTCGTTTTCTTCTGTGTCTGCCTTTTCTGCCTCTTGTTCCTTTTTCTTCTCTGAAGCCTCCAGCTCATCCTCCCGAGGCTTCCTGAAACTGGTCTTTTTTCGCCAGCCGGCCCAACCTTGAGTGAAGAATTTTTTGAAGGGCGATGCCGTTTCGCTGGCCACTGGACTAGTCGGAGAATCTGGAGATCTGGCGGGTTCCTTCTCTTGTTTTTCTCCTCCTTCATCTTTGCCTTCCTCGGCTGGTGGACCGGACTCCCCCTGAAGGGAGACTTCTGGGCGGCTCAGCTCGTGTCTGGGCGTCTCTTCGGGCTTCTCTGTGGACTGTTTGAGTTCAGTGTCTGTGGATGTCGCGTCCCCCATCTCCCGGCTGGGTTCCCGGCGCTCACCAGCCCCGTCGGACGCCCCTGGCCCTCCGCCTTCATCCTTTTTGACGGTGAGAAGCTGCACAGTGTCAGACTTCTCTGTCTTATCCTTCTTCACAGTGAATTTGAAGCCGACAAACTTAAACACCTTCTTAAATCCTACGTCGTTAGCCTGGGGCTCAGCGGGTTGCATCAGCTCGTCTACACTGCTTTCTGAGGCAGGGATCTGTTCCATCATCTCAGGCATTTCCTCCTGCCCCTCCTTCGTGATGTCTTGAACCGCCGCTGAGTTAGCAGCCATGTCTTTGTCTGAGTCCCTTTCAGTCACATCTTCAGACTCTCTCTGTCCAACTATTAATAGAAAAAAAAAAAAAAAAAAAAAGAGGGGGTGGGGGTGGGAAGAAAAAGGTTGAAAATGATTACAATTCAAGAAAATTAAATATTTAAAAAACACGGCCAGTGAATACTTTCTTTAACATCAGGCAGTTCCAGGATCAGGTAACGGTCTTACCAGTATCTGTAAATCTCAATAGATTAGGCAAAAAATTAGTTATAGGTAAGCGGCCACAACATCACTGAGGGTAGGTCAACCAGATGGTGTATGCATAATGGACTCACGTATCACACCTAGGATCTAGAATCCATCAAGCTTTAAAGATAACTTCCACTTTATAGGAAATATAGGGTTAGAGAAACTAAGCTAATTAAGTACCTAGACAAATCTAAAGGAGGGGCATTCTATGTGATAACTACCTGGCCTCTTCAACAAGTCCCCAAAGGCGACCAGAGCTCCTTGGGGAAATTCTGGGCTAGGTCAGGGAAAGTACAAGGAACATTTTATTGCGACAAAAGGGGGTGCTCAAAAGCTTGTGGGGGGGGGGGGCATATCCAAAGGACACAGGAGCCAGCTTGAAAGGGCTCCTGCTGGCCAAACTTTGAAGCGTAAAAAAGTAACAACGATGACAGGTTATAATACATTGAATAAAAATAGAATCTATGAACCAAGAGTGACACTACAAATACAACATTGTAAATCAACTATACTTCAATTAAAAAAGAGTGATACCGGGCTTCCCTGGTGGCGCAGTGGTTGAGAGTCCGCCTGCCGATGCAGGGGACACGGG